AAAAAAAAAATGAAGATCATTTTGAACTCATGGGTGTGGACATGTCTCATGGGCTTCATCCCATTGTGCTCTGCCGAGGACGAGGCATTTCGGTCCCCCTCCAGCCCCCGCGCCCCTCCATCTCAGCGGATGGCACATCCCTCCGGCACCGTGACCAAGACGAAAATCCAGAAGCCCACCTAGGACTCTTCACCCTCCTTCAACACCCTCCACCATATCCTGCCGCTTCTAGCCCCTCAGTGGTTCTCAGGGCTCCCCTCCCCGCCCATCCCTCCACCCTCCCAATTCAGACGTCACCTCCTCTCCCCCGGGTCACTGCGCAGGCCTCAGCAGACCCCCTGCCTCCAGCCTGGTCCCCATTCAGTTCCATCCCACGTGAGTGGAGACTCTCCAGACTCCGTGAGCTGCCAACCAGGACCATTCCCGGCCCGGTCTCATCTCTCACTTCTCGCTCAGCCTAACTCTTCAAGCCACCTTGAAGTGACCAGTTACCCTGCATACAGAACACTTCGATTTGGTTTTTCTGAGACTTTTCACTTTCTTTAGCTTCCTTGTCAAGAACTGCCGGGGTCTAAGATCTGTACCCCACTAGCATTCCAGCAAGGTCACCCGCCACAGTGTCATGGGCGCTTGCAGGAGATCTGAGACCCCGGGGACAGACACAACACCCTTGGGTTGCATAAGCTTCACATTTGCTTGGGGGTCTCCTGGTCCATCAGGGGCCCGGAGCGGGAGGTGGCAGTGGGCCCAGGCGGATGGATGCTGGGGTCTGGGGAAACTCAAGCCCAAGGAAATCTAGATCTTCTTAAAGAGGCTGCTAGCAAACCTGCCCAGCTTTTGCCCTGATGGGAGACACAATCTTCTAAGGTGAGAGATATTATTTCATTATACTGGTCAGGAAGAAACAAATCTGCCCTCTTCCCAGGAGGGAGAAACTCTACCTTCTATGGCTATTTGGATATTCCTGCAACGACGGCTAGAACAAAAGTTTGTCCATGACTCTTCACCAGACGTGAGACACACAAGGGGCCCAAGGACCGGCTCCGGGCCGTCTTGCCGGTGTTCTGTTCCCTTCCGCTCTTGGCTGACTTCTTATCCTTCGAGAATCCAGCTCAGGAACTCCAGGCATTCTCGGGCTCCAGGGTGCCCTCCTTGCTCCATCCGCACGGTTACCGTCCGCTCCACCAAGCCCCCTGAACCCCTGTGCTTCTGCTGAAGTCGCGCCGGTCGCACTGAGCTGAAAATAGGCGCAGGGCTCAGCAAACCCCAGGTGGGACTTCACCTGCTCTCCCCCTAGAGCAAAGAATGCCTTCATATAGATTTGGGAAAGGTGTCCCTTCTTCTGGGTGGACACAATCCCATGCCAGGGAGCAGCCTTGAGGAGCAGAGCCCAGACGATTTCAGTCCACTTACCACCTTGGCCGTGCAACCTTGGCAGTGAACGACCTCCCTGCCCATACGTGCGAGCCCTGAATTTATTTACCTTTTCAAAAAGATTTGAGGCTCCCCTTCCCTGTCCCCACCCAAGAGCTTGTGTGGTTCCTGCAAACAGCCTGGAAAATCAGAGTAGAAACACGTGTTTTCAGAGCGGGGACAGGGAGGCCAAGATGTTCTGTGACTTGCTAGGGTTTCCCCCTGGTCTGGAGCCCAGGTCTCCCACCTGCTAGTGAGGTTCTCCCCCACCCCCCCACCATTGCGGAGCAGGTTTCCTGACTTGGAAGCCAAACAGATGTCCGAGATGCCCTCTGGCTTCAGGCTGCCTGGGCTGAACAAGATGATTCCTGGAGAGCCCTCCTTCGGAAAAGAATGTTCCCCCTGCAAGTTGCGTCACAGCTGGGGGAAAGGGGAAACCACTGCTGTGAGTTGGCTTTTTTTCTCCGCAGCCCTGCTCCATGTAGCCTTCCTGTGAAGGAAGGGCCTGCCTCCTGCCACAGCTGCTCTCCACTTCCCCCACCCTGGGGCAGCTAGGTCCCGGAACCCAGCTAGCAGAGAGCAGACCTGAGGACCTCATCTGGCAGTGTGGGCAGCCTTCCCGACACACCCTTGGTCTGCCCAGCTGGATGCCTGCTTTGTCTGCAAGTGGGGATGGGCAGGGGTGTTTCTGCTGTCCCTAGACAGCTCCCCCCCGCCCCTCTGCCTCTCCTCCCCCTCCTCCTCCCCTCCTTGTGCCCCCAGGAGAAATGTGCTCATAGCCAGGGCAAAGTGGGTCCACTCCATTAAGGTGTCATGAGGCCATAGCGGGCCAGGTATCTTCAGGGCTGGTGTGAGATTTTTCCTGATGGGCAGGACCTCGCACCCAGCTGTCACTGGTAGGCCACGGGGATGGGGGAGCAGAAGGGCCAGGGCGTGACCCAGTCTCTCTGTGGAAAGCTGGTGGCTTCTCTCACGAGCCGCTGGCCCCGGCTCCAGCCTCAGGCCGAAGGCTAGTGAAAGCAGAGGGCAGAGGACGCCAGACTGCCAAGCGGAGAGGGCACAGACCTCAGGGAGGAGACACAGATGAGCCCCCGTCCTATGTCCCAGCCTTTGTCCTCGTCACTCTTGGACACACACATACATGCACAAATGCCCAGCTCTGGACTCCTGACCCCCTGCTCGGGGCCGACGGAGAAGCCAGGCCGGTTCAGCCGCATTTTGGCCCTGTCTGCCAGGCCAGCCCTGTGATGCGCGCTGTGGCCGGCTGCTGCCCGCAAGTTCAACACAGCTGGGGCTGAGTAGGCAAGACCTTGGTTTCCTACAAACAGGTCAGTGGGGATGCTGTGGGGGATGGGAAAAAAAGAGCCTTAGATTGTGGGGTCGGTCAGACCTGAGTTCAAACCCCACTTTGGCCTCTAACTGGTGCATAACCTTGTTAAGTCTCCCAACTCTGTTATGAGCTGAATCGTGTGTCCCCTGAAGTTCCTATGTTGAAGCTCTAACCCCTGGTACCTCAGAATGTGACTGTGCCTGGAGACACAGGGCCTTTAAAGAGGGGATTAAGGCTAAATGAGGTCAGGAGGGTGGGGCCCTGATCTAGTAGGATGGGGTCCTTCTAAGCAGAGACATTGGGGATGCTCAGGCAGAGGGGAAAAAAGGCCATACCAGGACACAGCGAGAGGCAGCTGTGAGCCCACGAGAAACCAATCCTGCTGACACCCCCATCTCAGACTTCGAGATTCCAGAACTGCGAGGAAATAAATTTGCTCTTTAAGCCCCCTCCCCTTGTCTGTGGTATTTCTTGACGGCAGCCCCAGCGGGCTAATACACCCCCATTCTCTGAGCCCCGATGTCTTCATCTGTAAACACCTCCTTCACCGGACTGTTCTGCCAATGAAATAAAATAAAGCAGGGGAATCCCTCACCAGTAGCAACATAGCAACAACCCCCCACCCCCCACGCCCTCCTCAGGCTCAGGGATTATGAAACCCTGTTTCCTTGTTTTGTGGCTCTGGGTCAGGGCCACAGGCCTGTACTCATCCTGTCCCACCTTCCCAGGGGCAGAAACATCCAGACGAAGTGGGGTGGTAGGGGGAAGCAGGTAGCCCCACCCCTCCTGCCTTCTGGCGTCCGCTGGCTGCATCCCTGTGTTGGCCTGAGGATGGTAGGCCGGACACACACGCACATGCACACGGGCTGATCTTACAGTGGCCCCTCAGTTCAGCCCCCTGGCTGTTTCTGCCTGCTTCCTGGGAGCTGGACATGGAACCCCAGGGCTGGCCCGGGGCCCGATCCATCATCTGGATCCCAAACCTGCCCTAATCTGGGGGCTCCACTGGGACAAAAGACCCCCTCTGACTCCCCCCATCCATCTCTGGACTCGTGGGAGGCAGTAGGCACTGCCCTTATAGCTGGGGGTACCAGACTACAGAGCAAGCTCAGTGCAGGGCTGTGGGGAGCCCTGGAAGCCCAGGAAGGGGACAGTGTGGCATCACGGGGGGGGGGGTGGCGAAGGGAAGGGCAACCTGGGGTCATGGCTGGCTACCTTCAGTTTCTGGGTATTTGCCCACCTACCCAAGCCCCAGCCTCAGAAGTCCTTCCAGCTGGCTGCACCCTGAAGCCAGCCCTCCCACTCACACAGGGCTGGCCCGGAGCCAGAGTCCAACAACTGTTTGTTGACTGGCTGAGGGAGCTGGTTGACGCCCAGGGGTTTCATTCCCAGAAGTCCAGCCGCCCCGCCCTCCTCGCCATTCACTGGGGCTCCCTCTGAACCTGTTTTGTTCTCTGCTGTTTCCCAGGGCCTGTAAGAGTGCTGACATTTAACAGGCACTCGACACATACACGTGTTTAATCAATGCTGAGAACACAGACGTGAACGGTACGAATCTGAAGGACAAGGCAGAAGCATCAACCGACAACTGCAATTTGATGAGAGGTCTCTTGTGAGATGAGCTCAGGGGGCTGTGGGAATGTGTCCAAGGACTGTCTGGCCAACCTAGGAAGTCAGAGAAGGCTTCCTGGAGGAATGGGCTCTGAAGGATGAATAGGAGTCCGACTGCGCAATGACTGCAGGGAATGGTATTCCTGGGATAAGCAGCAGAAGCAGGAAGGTGTGAGAGCATTCTTGAAAGGACACAGAGGTGGGGATGATGGGAACCAAGGGTGGTGCAGACAGGCCGAGGGGCAGACAGGGGCCAGGGCTATGAGTAGAGGAGCTGAAAGTACACTGCAGATTCTGTCAAGACAGGGCCCTCAGGGACGCCTGGGTGGCTCAGTTGGTTAAGCGGCTGCCTTCGGCTCAGGTCATGATCCCAGCGTCCTGGGATCGAGTCCCACATCGGGCTCCTTGCTTGGTGGGGCGCCTGCTTCTCTGCCTGCCTCTGCCTGCCTGTGTACTCTCTCTCTCTCCCTGGCAAATAAATAAAATCTTGAAAAAAAAAAAAAAAAAGACAGGGCCCTCAGCAGAAGCGGGGAGGAGGCCTTCTGAGCCCCACCTTGGAAGGGAGTTAGGCATTCATGGGGGCTTCTGGCTAGATGAGCAGCGATCTAACCTCTTGAGGAAAAGAGAGGACATTTTTAAAAGGGCTTTTATTAAATTCTCCCCACACAGCGTCCCTTGCCCCACCGCCGCAGCCCCAGGGGGTGTGTCCACCGAGAGAGGGCCCCATCAGTGTTCCCTGGTGGCTGAAGCTGGGCTTGTCCCTGCAGGTGCCAAGCTGGCTTCGCTGGGTGGCCCTGGAGCGGGAGGGGCTCAGCAACTGCGGAGGGAGGGAGGGTGGGCGACTATGGGCACTGGCAGCTGAGGACAGTCTCCAGTGTCTGGACGGGAGGCTTGTCTCAACACACACCCTGAGAGATGCTCCTGAGATGCTGGGAGGGTCCAAAACAGCCCAGCTCCACCCCAGGGGGCACGGTGGGCAGCTGCGGCCAGGCTGCCCCTCCGAAGGACAGTCTTGGGGAAAGTATGCCCTCCCAGGGAAACACGGAGTGGGGGGCACGGGGGAGCAACAGAAAGGACAGGGTCAGGCGCGGCTCTGTTTGCTGCGGCTGGTGGGACAGTCCCTCCCCTCTCTGAGCCTCATTTCCCTGTCTGAGGAAGAACTTGGCCTCTCCGTGCTCTGTCTCTTCTTCATGAAACACTCGGCCTTCATGCTTCACAGGCTCTTCTCCATTCTTCAGCCGTGTTGGTCTAGGCACACTCAGTATGCCGCAAGCAAGCGTGACACCTGGGCATCCCAGCCATCCCATCCCCCTTGGGAGTGTGTGTTCAGATGGAGGCGCCCCCCACCCTCAGGCGAGCGCTGGCGGGGTGGGGTGGGGGACAAGCCAGAGCCTGGTCCGCCCACTTCCCGGCCAGCCAGTCTTTACACGCTGCCCCCCAGGGGCCGGGGGATGCCAGGCCTCACAGGAAGTTGGGCTCCCGCACCACGAGGCAGGGCGGGCCGCCGCCGCAGCCGCCGCCGTCGAGGGGCCGGTACACGAAGTGGAAGTCGCGCTTGGGCTCGCTCCGCAGCAGGTAGCCCTTGATGCGGTGCGGCAGCGCCTCGTCCGCCAGCTGGAAGCAGCGCCCGTCCACCAGCACGAAGAGCCGGTGGTCCTGCGGCTGCAGCACCTCGAACTTCTCGGCGCACTGCGCGCACAGCGCCTCGGCCAGCGTGTCGGCCCGCGACGCCAGCGTCCGCGACTGTCGATCGGGCTCCAGGTACGACACGCAGATGAAATCCTGCGGGGCGGGGCGGAGGGGGCTGGCGTCACCCGCGGGGCTCAGGGGCCCCAGGGGCGCGTCTCTCCCGCACCCCGACCCTGGGGAGCTGGCACAGGGCGCTGGAGCCAAGTGGCCTTGGACAAGTCCATTGCCCTCTCTGGGCCCTGGCTCTTCTCTATGCACAGAGCAGGACTGCAGGAGCGGTCCTGGGGTTGGCAGTCGGGGACCCTGCGGCTGACCCCGCTGTGTGACCCACGGCCCAGGTCCTTCTGTCTCTGAGCCTCGCCTCTAGACGGGTGGACCTGGCCAGGTAGGTCTGCAGGGGTGCGTCTCAGCAATGAGGAGCGAGACCGCCCCCTGGTGGCCAGCCGGCGGCCTCGCCGTCATTATTCATCCGTCACCCACTTCCTCAACAATTCCTCCCCACGTTCCCCAACCCCGCGTCCCGACCCCAGGCCCAGGGCTGAGGCATTGAGGCTGTATAAGTAATATCGAATGTGCAGACCCCAGGCCCAGCAGCCCACGGTGCTAAGGCTGACGGAACCAGTTCGGCCCTGGAGGCTGGAGAAGCTTGGGGATGGCAGTGGGGGCTCCAAGGAGGAGGGGCGAGAGGCTTAGAGAAAGGGGAAGGGGCGCGAGGCCTGAAGGAGGGTTTAGGGTGAATGAAGAGGGGAACTGCAGGAGCTAGGCGGGCAGGGGTGAGGCGATGCCCGCGGGGTTGAGTCTGGGAACACACGCGCAAACCTGAACAGCATCTCCACCTTCCTCCACCAGCCCCAGAGGGAGGGCCATATGGCGGAAGGTGGGGCCACCGAGTTCTTGCCTGGCTTTAATCTGCTCCCCCTGTGTGGCCCTGACCTCCCTGAGCCTCCACTTCCTCAACTGTAAACTGGGATAATACCAGTCCCTACACCTTGGCTGTGAGGAAGCGGACAGAGTAAGGCAGTGCCTTTGGAGTCCTTGTCGCAACTCGAAGGCAGGTAGGAGGCCGTGGGCGCGGGGCCGCCCCCTTGTGGAAGGCTGGTAACAGCACAGCTGTCTGGGGCCACAATCACCACTTCAAGAGTGATTGTAATTATAGCTACAGAGTGGTGTCCTCCCCAGACCCCAGAGATCGCACTGAGGGGGTTCTTTGTCCCCCATCCCAGGCCTCTCTCCTAAGTTTGACCTCCTCAGTGACGGGCACTGATGCTCTGCCTGGCTTAGCCCTGGGAACGTACAAAGTAGAAGCAAGAAGGAAGGAGTCTGGTGGTCAGGCTTGGATCAAGAGTGCTCGTGTTGTCACAGTGGAGAGACGTGCGTCCCAGGAGGGGATCAGGAGTGGTGGTGGGCTGGAGGCCACTCCTAACCAGCCTGAGAAAGCCAATCAGGTCTATCTCTTCCTAATCTCAAGTTCAGTGATGCCACGTTGGTAGCTTGAAATTGGCCGGGGTAGGAGTATTTCCACCACGGAAATTGACAGGGGATCAGAGCTGCTTTTTTTCTCCTCAGATACCCAGTTACTAACATTATCAAGACACCACTGATTAGAGGAGGGGAGACCTCATCTCAGTAGCCTAGAACATGTATTGGGGAGGCAGAGCTCATCTGGTCCCCAGTCCACCTGAGCTGATGGTAAAACTGAGTTCCAGAGAGGGGCAGAGATGGCTCAGGGTCACACACCAAGTTAGTACAGACGTAGGTGCAGAACTTCAGCTGTTTGCCTCCCAGACCTGGGTTCTGCCTGTTCTAGAGAGGCCATCCTGAAAGTCATGGGTAGGGTTCAGGTCCGGTGTGTTCTGGGTGCCAAGGGAGTGAGACTGCAGAGCTATTTACAGCTATGGCTTGCTGCCTGGCTCGATGTTTTAACTCTGTCCATTCTGCACACAGCTCAATCCCATTCTGTCCCAGGCCCTGGGTGTGACACGTGAGCCATGGGCCCTCCCTTCCAGAGGAACAGCTTCAACTTAGTCGCAATACAGTGTGATACGTGTTATCTGTGGGGGGAAGCAGCCACAAGAAGCACAGAGGAGGGCATCTAACCTGGGCCGCAGGAGGGGAGGACAGTTGGGGAGGTGGTTTCAAGCCAGTGGAGGAAGGGAAACTGATGAGTGTTGGCAGAGGCTGAGCACCAGGGACTTGAGTTCAGCTCATTCAGGGAACGGGGGATTGGGTGACTGAATACCGTGTAGGGATATGGGGGAAGATGACCGTGTAGGCGGCAAGAGTCCTGGCCATGCACGGCTTGAATACTGAGTGTGTCTAGGGAGAGCTGGGGAGAATGGTGGCTGGATTGGAGAGACAGATTAAGGGCAGGGGACGTGGGCAGGGGACCCTGGCAGCTGCTGCATTTGTCCAGGGACAAAAGAGGAAAGGCTGCAGGTCCGCTCATGGGCTCCCCAACGGGGAACTGGCAAGACTAGGTCCATATCTCCGGGCATAGCGGGCACTAAGGAGTGTGGATAAAATTCTCATTCCCTCTCCATACCCCCTTCAGGTCTTGTCTGCTCAACTCAAACACCGATGGTGCTGTGATACTCTTCTAAAACTCTGCCCTCGCATCCAGACGGTGTCAGGCTCGCTGAGCTGGGGGGCCATGGGACTGGTGTCTGCCACACTGCCCGCTGGCCCCTGCCCCCCTGCCAGCCCACCCGTCCCATGCATCACCTGCACGGAGGAGCGCGAGGCTCGGGCCTTGTTGAGCGTGCGCCGGCGCTCCCAGCGGTGGATGGAGTCTTGCACCTCCAAGCTGAGCTGCCTGGTCACCGTGATCTTGTCGTAGTTCTTGATGTGCTCCAGGGCCCCGTAAGTGGTGGTCAGGTAGTAGGACCCTGCGGAGACAGGGCGGGGAAGCTGAGCTGGGACCACCTAGCTAGCCTCTCCAGGCTCCACCCACCACCGCTGTCTTCCTCCAAGCTCCACCCACCACCGCTGCCTGGGGCACTCCTACTCCTAGGTCACCTGCGCCCTTGCGTGCACAAGCTTCCTGAGGTCCAGCACCGCCCCCCCGCAAAGATGGTCTTTGGCTCCCCTTCAGGGTGGAACTTATTTTTAAAATGAGTTTTGAAATGTTTAAAAAAAATTTTTTTAAAGATTTTATTTATTTATTTGACAGACAGAGATCACAAGTAGGCAGAGAAGCAGGCAGAGAGAGGAGGAAGCAGGCTCCCTGCTGAGCAGAGGGTCCGAAGCAGGGCTCAATCCCAGGACCCTGGGATCATGACCTGAGCCAAAGGCAGAGGCTTTAATCCACTGAGCCACCCAGGCACCCCTGGAATGTTTTAAAGTTTAAAGGACACATGACAAACTGATAATCGTGGATGTTTTTTGGGTCGGGGAAAGGGGTGGCTGGGAGACTTCTCACCATGATATGCGCGTGTGTATGTCTGGGTGTGTGTGTCTAGATAGACACACACATATATGTCCTCGTCTAAAAAATACTTTTCAAGAGATGTAGAAAAATTTTAGTTATGGTTAGACTTTTACACACGATTTTTAAAGATTTAAGGGAAGTAAAAAATTCAAATTCTTCATTTCTCTGTTCCTTTTCACTTCTTAAGTTAATTCACAAGTGTTTCCAAAGGTAATTTAAGTGTTGAGATACTTCAGTCAGCAAAATTTACATGAGGTTTTAAGATAAAAGAAAATCATTTGCATAGATGCTTAGAAGTTCACTCTTTTTAGCTTGCTAGGGATTTGAGTTAAAAGGTTTGCAAACCACTGACCTCGCTGAGCCCTGTCACTTTAGAGAGATAGAGGGCGGCTTGGTCAAGGTCATGTGGCTCTTCATGGGCCTCCTTCCCACTTCCCAGGGCTCCCTCCCAAGCCCTTTAGGGGCTGGGACAAGAATTTCTTCTCTTGGTTTTTTATTTATTTGTTTATTTGCAAGAGAGTGGGGGGGGGAGGGGACAGAGTGGGAAGGAGAGGGATAAGTAGACTCCACACTGAGCATAGAGCTTGAGGAGGAGTTTGATCTTACAACCCTGAGATTGTGACCTGAGCTGAAATCAAGAGTTGGATGCTTAACCGACTGAGCCCCCCAGGCACCCCCAGGACATGGATTTCTGACATGAGGCTGATTCTCGTAGTGACTAAAGCAAATCCCATCTTCTCTTTTTTTCTGAATAATTGAACTCAACTTTTGGGAGGGAAGGAACAATTAACTAAAAATGCTCACTTCCCAGACTCTCTTGCAGCTCGGAGTAGAGAGCAGGGGACCCCATTCTGGTTACTTAGATGTAAGTGGAAATCCTTGGTGGTGGGAGGACCTTTGAGGAAAGTCTTTTTTGAAAGGATTGCTATGGTCTTGGGTTTTGCCTGTCCTCCTTCCTCCTGCCTCGAACACAGAGGTGAGACCGGGGCACAGTGCTGTCTGCAGATCGGAGGTGACAGGCACAAAGACAAAGGCTCACATCCTACAGAACAATGGAAAGAGGCGCATCCCGATTTCCTGATGACGGGACTAAAACCTGCCATCATCATCAGTTGCTTCTTCTATGATTTTTTTATTTATTAGAGACCGAGTGAGAGTGGGAAAGATCACATAGGGAGAGGGAGAAGCAGACTTCCTGCTGAGTTGGGAGCCTGATGTGGGACTCCGTCCCAGGACCCCGAGATCATGACCTGAGCTGAAGGCAGACGCCTAACTGCCTGAGCCACCCAGGTGCCCCCCCTCCCCGACTTTTATTATTTATTTATTTATTTAAGATTTTATTTATTTATTTGACAGAGATCACAAGTAGACAGAGATGCAGGCAGAGAGAGAGTTGGGGCGGGGGGAGCAGGATCCCTGCTGAGCAGAGAGCCTGACGCGGGGCTCCATCCCAGGACCCCGAGACCACGATCCAAGCCGAAGGCACGGGCCTAACCCACTGAGCCACTCAGGTGCCCCCTCCCCGACTTTTAAACCATTATTAGTTACATCGTGAGTTATCCGCAGCCCCAAGCATTCCTGTTATATTGGATGACTACAAATTCCACACCAATATGGGAAAAAAGTTCACAGCCTGGCTGGGGAAGGTGTGATGCTCATGTCAAAGCCAACCTAGAACCTGGGTTGGTATCCCTTATCGGAGAAGAGCCAGCCGCAAAACCACTCATGTGTCTCCCTTTCCAGTCTAGCTTAAAGCCAACTATGCCCAAACCCTTCCCTGGGGCCGCCAGACCTGGCTGTTCCCAGCATCCCTCTCTAGCTGGCGTGCCTCCCAGGCCCTGGGATCTCTGGGGAGTTACTGTCCTCTCTATGCCTGTTTCCTCATTTACTTTTCCCAGGATGCTGTGAAAAGTAAGTGAGATGAATACTGTCAAGTGCACGGCTTTAAGGTGTCAATAAGGCAGGTGGTTAGGGGACCTAAGGCAGAAAGATGCGGGGGGCGGGGCGCGGCAGGGTTGGAATCTCACCCTCTTGCGGCCAGCTTCCCTTCGACTTGGGGCCATGCCATGCAGTACCCATCAGGACCACTAGGTGGCAGGCGACCCCCCCCCCAACCATGAGTTTGGGAGCTCGTTGTTCCCTTCGGGGAGTGTTGTCCTTTGATGGAGAAAACTCAGGACCCCTATTAAGATATTTGTAAAGCATGGCCAGCCGTCAGCCAGAGTGCAGAGGGGACATGGGCAAAGATGTCCCGGAGGGTGCTTCTAGGAGAGGTCTGGATTTTGAGCAGGCTCCAGCCAGGTGCCCAGAGCTACCTGGGTCTCCCATTTGACCTTGAGTGCCCAGAGCAGTAGGAACTGCAGAGAGAGGCTAGACGGGAGCCTGGGTCCCATCCGCCCAGCATTCAGACCCCCTCTACTTGTTACAGGAAGTCCCTGATCTCCCATGCCTGATAAGCCTGCTGCAAAGAAATTGGGACCCAATCACTGGTCTTTTACCAAATTAGCAGCACCTGGAATGAGCTGAAAGAACACGGGTCTCAGAGGGCACAGAATCAGACTGGCAAGCCTTTCATTGAATGGAGAATGCTGGGGTGCCCAGAGTTTGAAAACCCCAAATCTACCCCGGCATGTGCACTTTCCCATGCCAGAGAAGTGACATGTCCAAGGTCTTCAGCCAATCAGAGGCAAAACCAGGATGGAAATCCAGCCTGCAAAACTCTCCTTTTATCCACTTGTGTTCTCCTCTTACAGGGAAGTAAGGGCTGGCCTTTGCCCTAGGCATCTCTGATCTCCTCAGAGCACCAAGGGCAGGCGCTCTGCTTCCCCTTCCCCTCTAGGCAGCCTCTTCTTACTGGAGCCTCAGGGGCTTTGGGGATGGAACACCTGTGTGCCACCAGCCAGCTAGGACAGAAGGCAAAGCTGGGGACACTCAGGAACACTGCCCTCCAGCCCTGGCTGGTCTCTGTCCCTCTGCCCCTAGGGCCAGATACTTCTAGATGGAGGCCTGCCAGCTGTCAGACTTGACGGGTTGAAGCCCCGGCTCCAGCTGGAGACCCCCACACCATCTCACTACCAGGGGGCCAACACCTGTAAGCCAGGGCCTGTCCTGGGTGCTGTGACTTCCCACTTTGGCTCTCAAGGCAAGAACAGAGAGAGGTGCAGGGAGGCCTCCTGGTTTGTGCAGCATGACATAAAGTGTGTCCTGGGGCCCTCAGCTGCCGCGGGCAGGATCTGTCGCCACTTGGGGGCGGTACAGGGCTGCTGGGAGGAGCCACAGGCAGTGCCTTGGTTTAAAGCAACTGCCTTCCGCTCAGGTCATGACCCCAGGGTCCTGGGATCGACCCCTGCATGGGGCTCTCTGCTCAGTGGGGAGCCTGCTTCCTCCTTTCTCTCTCTGCCTGGCCTCTCTGCCTACTTGTGATTTCTGTCTGTCAAATAAATAAATAAAATCTTAAAAAAAAAAAAAAAAAGACGCAGCCCGCCTGCATCTTTACTCCTGGTAAACACCTCCTGGAGGTGGATGGAGAGATAGATGGGTGGTGGGTGATGGGTGGGTAGGGGATTGATGGATGGATACCCTGGGCAACAGATCATCCCTGCCGAAAGAAGCCTGGTTTCCGCTGAAATCCTACATTCTCTGGAAGACAAGTTGTTCCAGCTGCAGACAATTTTTAACTAACGAGGAGAAATACATAGTTCCAGAGGTCCCAGAGCCCTCGTCCAAGTTCTACGTGACAGCCAGTTTCAAGGCTTTCCACGCTCCTCTGAGTTTCCAAGAACTCACAGAACCACACTCTTCACGCTATCACCCTAAAACTGCAAACAAGATGCAAAGAAGACCAGCTTATCTCAAGAACCACAAGGCCCAAAGGGGACACTCAGGCCCTGAGAGTTTCACTCTGCTCTTTGGGGCGGACATCTCACAGGACATCTCGGGGCTTCCTCAGAGCTGAGATCTGGGTGGGCCGTACCTCAGGGATTCCCGGTGGAGGAGTGGCCAAGGCTAAGTGGGTGGGGGGAAGTGGTGGGAAGGGCGAAAGGGGAAGGGAAACTGAGCGTGGGGTGGGGCAAACCACTCTACCATCATCCGACTGGGGAGTGCAGGGCTCCTTGTCCATAGCATTAAACTTCTCTCACGGACAGGGGGGCCTGGCCAGGGCTGAATGAGCAAGGGGCCGACAGCTCCCAGGGCCACCCCGGTCTAAGAACTGATCATTATTTCCTGCTCAGACTCCTTTCCATGGGTCTACCCACTGCTTCAGGCTTACCTTTTGTGCTGTTCCCTTTCCCTCTGTGAAGAATGCCTTTCCCACTTTAACTGTCTGGCTCCTATCCACCCTTCAATGCTCAGCTCAGGTATCACCTCCTCCTGGAAGCCTTCCCTGACTGCACAGCCTGGGCAATGGGCTCCCATACACTCTGGGCTTCCCATCATTCCAACATTTGTCAAGAAGTGGTGACAGATCTCTTGACAGGCCCAGCTCCTCTGCTTGTCTGTGACCCTCCAAGAACAGCACCTACATGGGGCCCGTGTCTTGTCCCCGGGGCTCTGTGGAATCTGGCATCCGGGAAGGGCTTATTGGGCTGTGTAGGGCACCCTGGGCTTGGCTGAGGCCGGTGGTATGCGTCAGGCTCGGTGGCCAGCCGGTGGCCTAGGGCCCGGCTGGGGCTGGTGACTCACCCTCCCCCAGCTGCAGGGCGGGGTCCATGAGCTCCATCATGTACTCCACGTTGAGGAGCATCTCCGTGAGGTTGCTGCGGGCCAGCACGTACATGAGCACGGGCAAGAAGTCGTCTGCCCCGTAGGGCTTCCCTGGGAGGAGAAAGGACGCAGAAGGTGGTGAGCATGAGGGTCTCAGTGTGAGCTGTTCCCCGGCCGGAGGAAGAGCAGTGATTTACTGGGACAGTGATGGTCACCCCTGGGAGAGGAAACTTACTGCTTTCTCAGGACTCAGGACAGGGGCGACCTGCGATCAGCCCTCTCAGGGAGGTCCGAGACACAGTCCAGGTTTGGGAAGAAGGAACCGAGAGAGACACCCTCCCCTGGAGTGGGCAGGAGCCAGCCCCTCCCTCTTGCCCAGCTCTTTCCCCTCAACGCCCTTTGCTGCTTTATTTTTGCATTTTTAAAAGATTTTATTTTTTTTAAGATTTTATTTATTTATTTGACAGAGATCACAAGTAGGCAGAGAGGCAGGCAGAGACAGAGGAGGAAGCAGGCTCCCCACTGAGCAGAGAGCCCGATGTGGGGCTCGATCTCAGGACCCTGAGATCATGACCTGAGCCGAAGGCAGAGGATTTAACCCACTGAGCCACCCAGGCGCCCCAAAGATTTTATTTTTAAGTAATCTCAACACCCAACGTGGGGCTCGAACTCACCACCCTGAGATCAAGTATCGCACGCTCTAGCAACAGAGCCAGCCAGGCGTCCCTTCCTCTCCTTGCTGCTTATTCAACAGTCAAGTTCATATCACACTTACTCACGGAGCCACCCAGAAACAGCTGTCTCTCTAGTAATGATGTATTCTGGGAGGTTTCCTTGTCCCTTTTCAGCACACATCTCCCCTTCCAACTGCTAAACAGAAAGCCCTCCCTTCACCAGTACTATGTGGTTGGAAATTCTACCATTCAGCCTTCACTCCACTGGGGTCAGCAGGGCCCTTTCCAGAGGGGGTTCTTTTAAAATGTAAATACCTCTGAAAGGAATAACCCAACACAGGACACCTGGGTGGCTCAGTCATTTAAGCATCTGCCTTCTGCTCAGGTCCCGATCCTGGGGTCCTGAGATGGAGCCCTGTGTCGGGCTCAGTGGGGAGCCTGCTTCTCGGTCTCCCCGCCCCCTGCTCATGCTCTCTCTTTTTCTCTCAAATAAATGAATAAAATCTTAAAAAAAAAAAAAAGGAAAAGGAATAACCCATCACTTCTGCTTTTGTGGAAAATGGTCATGGCTCAGAGCATCTGACGGTAACAGATGCCTTGGAGAAGAGAGGAGGGCGAGATGGTAGGCCTGAGGGACGCCTTCCCAGCGTGGTTCTGCGCCGGCTCTGGAGACTAACCGTTTGGCAATGCCAAGTCAGAGGCTGGCCACGGAGGGGAAGAATTCCTACAAGGACAGAAGCCGCTGGAGTCCCTCACTGGGCATCTTGGCATACCTCTGAGTGCACTGGGGAGAAGGAAAGCTTGGCTGAGCAGCTTTGCACAGTGGAGAATGGCCATACAGAGCCCCCAGACTCATCTGGAGGTGACAGGAGAACTCTAGAAAGATCCATACCATGGCTGCTGCCCTTTCTGTCTTGGGTGAGATTAATAATTGGTCCAAATACATGTCAAGCAATTAAAGTTCTTTCAAAGATGTATTCCTACATCCTACGTTTTACAAAGGAGTTGGGTGACTGTCGGCAAACATAGGATCAAACAGTAAAATCTGAATAAAAATGTAAATGTCAGGAAAATTCTAAATTACCAGAAGAACTGTAAGCCACAGGAAAAACAGAGATGTGAATGAGCAAAGACCCATGCAAGTGCGCCTTTAGTGCCTCAAATTTGGGTTGAGCTTCCCGGTGGCCAAAGCGAAGAGGAAAACACAATCAGTTACCTGCTTCTCATTGACCATGAGAAGAAAACACACCAGTTTCTCGGGGGCCCAAAGACATCTCTCTAAGGCTTAGGGCTAACATAAACATTTCCCATGTAGCTTCACAAGGGGGACACGATCGGCAAGTTCCTTTGGCCCACACAGGGGCTTAGGTTGACTTTGAGATTTTCATTGCGTTGCCTCAAGATGTGGCTCGGGGTGAGTGCTTCTGGGAAAGAAGCTAGAATTTCATCGCTAGGCCTCCCCTTCCACCCCCAGTCCCTGTGACTATTATGTGAATGAGGCATTGTTTTGCAGAGGAAAAGGCCCTGAGGATGAGGAAGGGCCACGAGAGAGGAACGGGAGAGAGGAACGGAGTTGCACCAGAATGCAGGTACCCAAGAGGGGAATCAACCCCATTTTGTTGAGATCAGCAGTCTGGGCCGTGTCCTAACATTTCCAGAACTCGAGCTACAAATCCCAGTAGAAAGTGCTCCCAGTGAGTGGCCAGAACAGCTCGGCCAAGGCCCACCTGATCATTCTTTCAAGTTCATTCATTCATTCACTCACGTAAGCCCTCTTATTAACCACCCTATTCCTTGGGTGCTACCTGACCAGGTAATAAGATCGGATTTTTCTGGATTCTGGTGGGGACCAGAAAGATGTGAGTAAGAGAAACAGCGTGAAAGAGGTTTTGAAAGGAGCAGGAGAGCTCTGTGTTGAAATCAGCAGCCCCGCCAGTGGCGTTCTCTCCCGCTGCCTGAGTCCGTGCAGGCGGGCACCCTCTTAGGGCACCGGGGCACCCTCTTGTGGTGCTGGGTCACCCCTGAGGGGTGCAATCGAGCACTGCTCTGGTGGGATCCCCATGTCACACCTCTCCAGCACACACCAGGCCAGCCCCTCCTCCCATGTCCTCCAAGACACACCCCCGGACAGCCCGATAATGTCTGTCCAAGGGGTGCCCCTTCGGCTCACAACTTGTCCTTGCTTGGTTTTCCAGAGAACACTGTGCCTTGTGGCCAGCTTCCTGGCCACACTCTGTTCCTACATCTGCAAAATGGGGCCAGCAACACCAGCCCTGATGGCCTTCCTGGGTTTTCGAGAAAATACAAATGTGTCCCAGACCAGCAAAGTGCTACCGAAAAGTGAGCTGTTACTGACATCTCTGTTCTGCTTTCTCAAGTGGCCTCAGTTTTTCCATCCGTGAAATAAACAGGCTGGAGGGGTGGGTAACACATAGAGTCAGACCCAGAGCATGAGCCTCAGCTGTGTGACCCCGGGCTAACTGCTATACCTCTCTGAACCCGATTTCTAGTCATGCATGATGTGACACAGATCACACGACACGCTATGGGATTTTGGTGAGAATTCTATACGAAGATGTACCCAGAGGGCTCCCACATGCTCCCGTGGAAAATGCCTGCTAAAAAAATCTATTCTTCCCCCTTCCAGCTCTGTGTTTGGAGGCTCTCTTGGTTATTTGTTACAAGGTTCCTGTCCCCTCCCTGCACCAAATGAGTCTATTTTAGAGAAAGAAAGCTTTGCCCTAAACCTTTATAAGCCTGAGACACAACTTAAAGGTTCCTGGAGCAAGATTTTGTGCCGGGAGTTGTTTTTCATATTGATAATTTAATTATTAGAATCCTGGCCCACAGGAGAGTCTTCTCTGGTCTGAGTTATGAGATGGGAACTGATGGGACACAGTCCTGTGCCTTTCGGAATTCACCTCTAACTCCCCCGCTGGCAGAGAGCTGATGGAATTTCACCAGGCTTCCAGAACACCAATTTCTGCTTGCTATCGTGTTAATAACTCAACGGGGAATATAATCAGGTGAGCTCCTGTGCTTACAAGCAGTGGTTCACCACCAGCCCAAGTTTCCCTTCGGGAGTCACTGGGTCATGTCTAGAGTCGCTGTTTGGGGGTCACATTAGAACGGGGGTGCTCTAGGCCCCAAGGCCAGGGATGCTGCCGAACAGCCTATGATACCCAGGAGAGCCCTGCATACTAAAGACGTACTGGACCCCAGACGTCTACAGTGCCAAGGGCGAGAAGCTCTGCTTGAGGGGGTGATGACCTTCAGCAAGAAGGAGGGTCCAGCTCTGGCCCTAGGTTTGGGACTCAGAGGCCCTCTGGACTGTGGCTCTGTGTCCTGCGGGGATGCAAAGTTGTTCCTCCTCCTCCCTGTGCTCTTCCCGAGAATCCTGGCCGACACTCAGGAAGGGCTTTGGGGCGCATCTCCTTGGTTCACAGCACATTCTGTTCAGCCACCCTGTTACTGGGTCCCCTAACTGTCCCTCCAACTCCCGTGAGCATTCCCTCTTTGTCCCTGCAGCACACAGCGCGGGGCACAGCAGAGGTGAGCAGGAAGCTGGGTTCCAGGCTCTGGCGGGCCTCTCCAGGGTCCTTCGAGTCCTTCCCACACCTGGCCCGAGCCAAGTGTTTCATCATGTCCTAGAAACCAGCCCTTGCTGGGAACGTTCCCATTTCTGTCAAGGAGGTTCCTGCCCCCAATCCCAGGATGCAAGGCCTGGAAGTACCCCCTGACTCTGCGGCGCTCCGTATTTCTCAAGAACCATCAATGGTTCCCCACTGCTTAGAGAATCAAGTCTAGATCCCTTTGCCTGAAGTTCAAGGCCTGCCACAGTTAGACCCATAAACACCTGTCCAACACGCATGACTCTACTCTCTTCTAGCCACATCATCTAGCCGATGGTTTCAGAATGGGTCACCTGCATTCCAGGCCCTCGGGATTGGCCACAGTCACCTGGCTTCTCCTTGCCTTCCACAGGCCTCAACCTTCTATCTCCCACCCAGCACCAACATTTGCGGGACACTCTAAAAATGCAAAGCATATTTTATAAACATTATACCAGTGAATTCCTAAAACAACTTCGTGAGGTGGATTAGATTCAATTGTGCCCACTTTACAGATGAGGGGAAGTGAGCCTTGGGGAAGGTAAGCTACATGCCTGAGATCACACGGCTAGGATGCGGTGAACCAGGACTTGAATGCAACTTCTTCTTACGCAGGATCCCATGTTCCTGCTATTTCACATTCCTCCTTCAAGTTCCACCTCCTCCACGGAGCCCTCCTGGGCTGCCCCAGCTACTGGTGCTTATTCTACGCTCTACTTTCCAACTTCCAACTCGGAATGACATTCTGCCTTCATCACCTTCCCACAAAACATTCCTCTGTGCTGAATCATGGGCCGTTCCCTGAACTCCAAAGGCGCTTTCAATC